GTCACTTACACGTGGGCGAAAGGCGAAAGGTGTGGCTTACAACACCATGAGTGCAGAAAGCGCTCCGGAGCGATGTGGCCGCTCAGTAAGGCATCAATCGACGGCGTTCTTCCATCTCCGCAAGCTCGATTCTTTCTTGCGACCCATCGAAGTCATGCAAACTTTCTTGCTTGATGTGAGGCGAGAATTCTTCCAGAGACTCTTGCTTGATACGCGTCGGAGAGTCTTCTCGAGGCTCTTGCTTGATTCTGACTGTATCCTGAGTGGGAGGCGCTAAATCTAGTTCCACTCCGAGTCGACGGCTTTGGCCATCTTGCGACGGTAGCTCCGTGAAGCTACTGAAGGTTCGAAGTTCCCGCTCGCTCATGGAGCGTGCCAAATCGGCCAGTTCCGAATGGCTCATCACTTGCGAAAGAGGAGGCTCAAAAGCTGACCAATACAGCTCTAAGTGTGCGAGAAAGCCAGATCTTTGTGAGCAAGTGGCTAGACTCTTTTGCAGCTCAGCGAGCTTATCGGTCGGACGCACCTCGATTAAATGGACAAGCTCGAATGGCCCGATAGAGCACTCTTTTGGCCCTCTCGCTCGCCTGTTGTTGCTGCTTCGAAGCTTCTCTCCTTCTACGACGCCCTGTACGGTACAGATCCTCGTCCGAGCTGCTCGTGTGGGCGTCTACTTCACGGACTCTGCCCACCTTGATGGCGAGACGTATCTCGAATTCGGGGTAAAGGTGCCACAAAGTCGCCGAAGAAGAGATCGAGGAGCTGCAGGGCAAGTCAAAGATGTTGGTCAGAACGAAACGATGGGCAGATGAGACCACAGTGTGGGCGTCATACTGCCGATACCCACTTGTCATCCGTCAGAGCGCGCTCAAAGTAGTGCCGTGCCGTGTGCTCATTCGGGTGCGAACGCAGATTGAGCTCCGAGTAGATGGCAAACAACCAGCAAGCTTCCGCTTGACTGTGCCGGGCGGCGTGCTCAGCTAGTGTGCGATGCTCCGACATTGTAAGAGCTGACCCGGAGTGAGGGAGCACGTGATGCTCAAGGACTGATCTGAGATGTCCTTCCACCTTCGCACGCATCTCGTGAGCAGCGAGTAGAGACAAAAGCGCCGTGTTGTGTGGGAATGCTTGCACTGCGCGGGTAAGTGCATTGCGCACGGTAAGGGGTCTGTAGCCTGTTGACCTCGTCTCTTCCCGGTTGGTGTAGACCCAAAGAAAGCGTCCTTGTGACAGGTAGACTGACTCGAGCGCCGCGTACACTGGCGAAGACCAAGCACGCACGTCCTGTGCGTCCTCTTCGTCTTTCAAATACTCCATCGCATGTTCTACAACCTTGCAGTAAGACTCGATGCCTCCTTCGATCAAATGCTCGAGAAGCGCTCGACACGACATGATAGCAGCCCTGGCCATCGGAGGTACTGGATCGCCCTTCGCAGCGAAGGACTTGCGAAGTGCGCTCGGGTCAGTGGCCCCTTGTTCGCGCGAATGATCCAGGAAAGTTGCTGCTCGAGCAAGAATCTCGATCGCGCTCGCATTCTGTCCAGCCCTCCACTCCATTTCTGCCCAATCTCGCAGCATCGGCAGCGCTTCAGAGACCGCCATCGCGGGTGAGTCAGCCAGCAGCTTATCGAGCGCACTGCGATATACCAAACGCGCCGAGTTGAGCTTCCCAGCGCTCTCCTCCAGCCAAGCAAACGCGTGCCACAGCTCCATGCTGTCTCGGTTCGCATCGAGCTCGCCCCGCGCTAACGACCTCGCCCTACAATGAACGGGATTCGAAGCATCAGCATTGCTGGAAGCTGAAAGTGCCACCATTGTTGCACTCACGCTTTGTGACCCCGCGTGGCGTGCTCAAACGCGAAGCGAGCAATTGTCCTCGAAAGACCACCGGCGTCGGGAGGTAGATGGTCCAAGACATTGCTGCGATGAAGCGGACTTTCCATGAGCTAGGTGGAGCTGGCCTCCAGGGAGCTATTCGATCAGCTTGGCTCACCTGGCAGTTTCCAAATCTGCGTACTGCAAGTCATCAGTGCGCACGCTCGTGAACCATTGACTCCCGAGTTCTACTCTGCTCGTCGAGTACAGCTCAGGCAGTCGTGGGGCCCAGCAGCTAATTGGGACATCAAAGGGCTGAGATAAATTGCTTTGTCGAAGTCCTCCAATCACTTCGCCTTCGGTCTTGGCGTTGAGCGGTACATCAGACTCTGTGCCGCCTGTTGGCGACAAAGAGAAGGGCCAGAAGCGCTGTTGAAAGGCCAACATAGCTGTCGGACCCGCTCGAGTCTCGCTCGGAAAATGTGCGGAGCTTTGAGCTGGATCTCCAGCCCAGGCTATGCCAGGTGACATTCCGAGGTAGCCTAGCGCAAAGTCCAGAACGCGCGACTTGACAGCGGGCGCCGTGACAGGCACCGCCACAAGTTGGACCACGTCAGAAGACAGGATGAAAGCATACGGATCCACCTCGTCTTCGCCGTGGAGAGGTGTAGCGGTGGTGCGCGCAGGCTTTTGTCGCAGACCTGCTCGTGCCCTTTCCCTTTCGACCCATGGCACGCTATCATCAGATTTGCTGGACCGGTATGGGAGGAACGAGGGATCTAGGGACGGCATTGGTGCACCTGCATCGGGCACGTCCCGATGGCTATACTGATTCGCCCACCCCTTAGCGCCCTCTTCTCCAATCCTCGGCCCTTCGTCGTCCCAAAATTGAGAGAAGCTATCTATCAAGCGTTCGTGAGATTCTTCGTCTTGGCTCTCAAGTCCCAAAGGTGCGCAAAAGGTCACCTCAAGCTGCGCTTGTACCAACGCAAAAGCTCTTTCATAGTAGCCTGGAGGAGCAAGTCAGCGACACGCTGTGACCCGTGGCCATCATTGGCACTCACCAGCTTGAGAAAGATGCCTCACAGCAGTGGTCCACAGCGTCACAAGTGCTTGTTCTAGGACTAGTCGCTCTGCGGAGGAGGAATCAGTCTCAGAGGCTTAGCACAGCAAGGAGAGACTGGGCTGTACTCACCCTCGAATAGCTGCGCTTTCCACGTAGCTGACAAGAGAGCTTTCAGACCCTTCGTAACCGCTTCCAAAAAGGCGCACAAGGGTCCAGCTTGCCGAGAGTACCACTCTAAATACGCCACCCACACTTCTCCCAACCTCTGCCCCTGCATCTCGCCGCTCTTCAAGAGCGCACTCCATTCCTTGTCGCATTTTTCATTCTCCCAGATCAGAGATCCTTTACGGAGGTATGCGAGCTCCAGGGATGCGTTACGTGGGTTTGAGCGCCTTGCACGTGTTAACACGGCCAGAGATGCCTCGGCTCCGGCGCGGTGTTGCCTATGATGGCCTCGTATACTTTGATTCCCCGAAGAGCTTAGAGCTTCGACCAGTTGGGCCTGCACGTGCGCGAGCTGCAGCCAAGCTTCGACATCTGACGCATCCTCACGTACTCGCACATCCAAAGAAGACATGCGAGCTCGCAAGGTAGTAGCCGAGTCTGATTCCACTTTAGTTGACGTGTCTTGCGGCGAGGCTTCATGCCTATCGCGTTTAGGACTTGCCGAAGTGCGCTTTCTATAAAAATCTCTATAGTCCGGAAGGAGTTCGTCATCGGATGCTGACCGAGCTCCTCCTCGCACCTCTGACTCGCTCAGCGCTTCATACTCTCCAAACGCCGCAGAGGACGGAGTGGTCGCTGGAGCGATCCGAAGTTGCGCGGGCTGACGCGCACGCCAGCGCTCCTCCTTGTCGAGGTAGCGGACTCTCTGTTGCGCGATCAGAGAATCTTCAGACACAGCGAAGTCCACATCACCAAGCTAGTGACTCACCTTGCCGCCCTTTGGAAGTATCTCGAGCACCTTGCCGTCCAACCGAGCGCTGGAGAACGAGATCCGCAGAGATCTCGAGAGACCGAGCACACAGCCGTCTGTGTATTTTTCGATCGGTCCAAGCATCAGCTCGGCTAAAAGGTGAGACACAGGAGGCCTCGTCCACACATCCATGCTCACCCCCAAAACGTTGGTAGCGAGGCAGCTTGCTCGCGCTCAGCCCGCCATATGTTGCAGCTTTGTGGTCACCTTGCGCGTCTACAAAGTAGACATCTTTGAGATATTGCAGGTTCACTTCATTGGACACACTGTGCTTCACATGTGATTCTGCGTGTACAGATGACTGCCTTGCGATATACCCCTTGGATGACTCTGGCCGCTTAATCGAGCGCAACTCGGTCTCCAGGTGTGGAAGAGATCTGGATGCACGGCGCTCATCGCGGTTGCGCGTGGAGTGCAGCTTTCTTGCTGAGCGGTCTGCATCACTCTCATTCTCAGAGTCGTGCCTGCGTCGCCTTTTGCTGGAGTGAGAACTGCGATGATGACGCTCATGTCCGGACTTGAGCCTTTGATCTTTACAGTTGGCGCTGCTCTGCGTTCCCTCTCCAACCTGTGGGCGCGAAGAAGAGCTCTGAAAAGCGCTCGTATGCTTGGAAGAGCGAGAAGTGTTGCTGCCCGCATCTCTTGATCGCTCTTGTCGGTCTTGCTGGACTGCGTTCGGCAACTGAAAAGAACCAAAGCTTGGAACCTCCGCTGCATCCATGGCGATGAATCGCCTACAAGGCGTCCAGGTCTTCTCCCCAGCACCCGTGACTCTTCTCCTGACCGCTCAGTCTGCCTTGCTGTGATGACGGTGATGAGAGGCGTGGAGCAGGGTGGAATGACCAGTCTCCTCAGAATGTACAACGCTCGCCGGCAATTCAAGCCTGTGTATGTGAGTGTGAGTGTGTGCGTGTGTGCACCGGTATGCGTTTCTACAGCACTTCATGGAATCACAAATCATCGAGCCCGTGCAGGAGCGTCCAGATCACGTGGAGGCTATCAACCAGACCTCCACACGCGTGATAGAAGCTCACCTAAAGCTGACTCGTGACTCAGGACGGCGACTTGGCGCCTCCCGTTAGCAACCAAGCAGCATGTCTGCGGGTATGCAACCCTTCCTCAGTGGGGAGTGTGGGTGTGAGTGTATCCATGTGCATAGAACAGCAGTAACCTTAGACTTTTCCTCGTTCCTGCCATCTCACCAACCAGGCGTTCCAAAATCCACCTGCGCGACCGTTTGCAGTCATGTCAGGAGCTGGAAGCACAACAGCAGCGGGAGTCTCCGCTAGCGCTCCCGTTCCCGGTGGAGCGTCCCACAACATCAGGCTGGCAGGATCCTTCGACATCCACAGACCCAGCACACTGTCCGCGTCTCCTCGATCCGAGCTCCGTATAGCTCTCGCACAAGTCACACCATCCTCTTCCGACAACGCCGAAGCCGAAGGCTTGGCGATCGTGCGCACATACGCCAAAAGAGCAGCCCATCAAGGGGCCGATGTGCTCGTTCTGCCCGAGTATTTTCTGAGCGGAGCCACGCACGATCAGTGGAGAGCTGTCGCGGAACGCGGAGAGCCAAAAGGAGGCGTGCAGGATGCTCACTTGCGGGAAGATCACTTCTTGTCGGAGATTGCGACCATCGCAAAGGAATTCGACTTGGACATTGTCAGCGGTACGGCCGTCGAAGCTGGACCTCATGCTTCCCAAAGTCAGGAGCGAACCAAGCATCATGCGCCGCACAGGGGTGACAAGGACGCTACGCAAGCACACGCAGAAGCGGCAGACCAGATAGAGGTCTTCAACACCGCTTACTACGTCGGTAGAGATGGTCAAGTCAAGGGTTCATATACCAAAAGGGCGAGTAGAGACTGGGATCGACGACCAGCACCTGACACTCCGAAGAAAGCTCATTAACCTCGAATGCGCACCACAGAACCTTTGGCATCCTGAGCGTAGCGTTCTGACCTCCGCTACCGCCTCAAGTCATCCGGCCCCTCGAACGTTCGATATCATCACCAAGGCGGGACGGTCACTAAAGGTCGGAATGCTTATATGCGTGAGTCGGCCTTCCAATCGAGTGCTGCATCATGTGTGAATCCAGCTGACGCACAAGTCTACTGCTTGCGGCTTCAAGTGGGACTTGGGCTTTCCAGAAACGTTTAGGGAGCTGTATGAGCCAAATGCAGATGTTCGGGGAGGACCAATGGTCGGACCAGATGTGTGGGTCACACTCGACGCGCAAAAGGAGTGGCGGGCACGTCAAGAAGCTGACATTGCACGCCGTTGATCAGTGTCTTTGTGCCCACTTGCTGGTACGCCACCGATGCCGGTGCGAAAGGTTTGCGGTGGAACAAGAATGGAGAGAGCGCTTTGTTAGGTGAGTGAGGTTACCGGCGCACCTGTTTTGATGGCCTGCCACGGTGCCCGGCTGACGACGTGCTAATACACGTCTGTGCGCATACAGACTCGCTCGTCCTTGCCCGAGCCATCGAAAACGAGTGCGTGGTTGCCATGTGTAATGTGAGCGGCGCGTCCTGGCCATCCGGAGAAGATCTGCGTCGACCTCTAGATGATGCATCCAAGGCTGATCGAAGCTTTGGAGGTGCTTCTCCAAGCGCAAGCAATCAAGCTGGTGACGGAGCAGTCTTGACGGCCGAAGGAGCTGGACCAACACTTTTTCCCACGCCTGCTGGTGGTAGACCTACGATACAGCCTACAGGTATCCCCACCACCTCCGATGGCAAGCGCATACAGGCCCCTGCAGATGCTCTAGGTCACATCTCGCTAGCGGAGGAGAAGGACCTGACGGCGTCGCGCGCTACAGACGAGCAGGAAGAGCCGATAGGTGTGGGAAGATCCCAAGTGTGCGCACCCTTCTTGGGTCGAGTGGCGGTGGTGAACGATGAAAAGGAAACTCTTTTGCTCGCAGCTTTGGACCTCAGAGTTCTCGACGACGCTCGCGATGTGTACAAGATTAGAGAAGACTTGGGCAAAGCTACGGTGGCACAATAATTGGGGCACTCACGCAGATCAAACGTGAGTGTCATTCTGTCGATTGACCAAGACGAAGGTGATGATTTGTACGAGTCAGATGGCTGAAGCCGGCTAGTGCAAAGAGCCGCGGTCATCCCTTTCTAGCGGCTATGGTACTCCGGGAAAGAGAACGTCCGCAAAGATGTCCTTGTGTAGCGACGTACAGCGAATCCTCTCATTCACCATGCGGCACTATGCATGCAAGGCCGTCAGCTGTCCTTGCATGCATCGGCACTGCTGAGAAACGGGCTCCTGTCCACGTTTAGCTGCCTCGAGCGACTGCGCTTAGCGTATCATGACTTGATGTCGATGGTGTGGACTTCTGTGTCGTCTGAGCATCAGCTCGATGCAATTACTTGATGACGCATTCCTAAGGGTACAAAGATGCGTGGGTGTAAATCTGCAGCGAAGCAACGGAAGGAACGGGAGAG